GGATTGCGAAGGGTGCGGGTTCGAGTCCCGTCCGCTGCCTGGTCCGCGTGGATTTTTTTCTAGTAAACTTTTCTTTAGATTTAAACATCTAGCAGTTAAATGCTTAAAAATAAATAAAATCACAGCATTATTTTTATATAATTTTTAATGAAAACTTAGATCTTCATTTCCAAAGAATTTTTTTCGAAAAAGAAATTCAGACATTCTCTCCATTCAATTTGGAAGGTAGCATAACTTTTGTAATGGCTATAAAAGTCCTGATTTTTAATATAAAATACATGATATTAATTAATGAAATTTTTTTTTCCTCATTAATTTGTAATAAATAAAGTAAAGACGCCATTTATCTGAGATATCCATGATCACGAATCAGTTGTTACCCCAACATCAACATTGACTTATTATAGTATGTATTTTTATTTTATAAGCATATAACTGACATTGTTTAAATATAAAGAAAAGCTTACAAGAAAAAAAACATGCAGTCCCGGCAGCAGACAGGAAATTAAACACGGCCATTGAGGTCGCGGTAGCATATTATTGATCAGTGTATCCGCCTGGATAGCAGAGGGTGCGGGTTCGAGTCCCTGCCTGGATCGAGTGAATTTTTTTTCTACTTTTATTTTTATTTTATCAACATTGATTGCTATAAAATCACGCTATCTTAAATGATTTGCAATTTTATTCAGCTGCTTTCATTGTAAAATGGGTGGGAGATCATTAAACGACAATTAAGAAACGAAGTCCAGGGCAATTACCCAATCTGGGTAATGTCACAGTCATTAAAAGAATTCGTCATAAATCAAGGTACCCGTGAACGTATCACGACTTCACGGCGAATTCGATTCGTCATGACGTTCGCTACCGTCTCTGAGAACCAATCATTTTGGTAGAAATAATATTGCATAGATATAGCAATTTACGCAGCCGCTTCTGAAGTCCTTAAGTTAAATATTAGCAGAGATACGGAATTTCACATTAGTCTAGCTTGTTCGATGGCGTAGGTGGTTAGTGCGTTCAGCTGCGATCGTTGAAGTTAAGCAACTTTCGCAGTGGTCGGTTATTGGATGGGTGACCAAAAATCTTCTATCTCGAGTTCCTCCGTGCTTCGGAAGGCACGTTAAGCCGTTAGTCCCGGCTGCATCTGCATTCGTTAGCACCCGCCAATCCGCATTGGGATCGCGTGGAGAGTCATGGCCCAATCTCCCTATTCCATCCATAGGGAAGGCCTGTGCCCCAGCAGTGGGGATATTAATAGACTGATGATGACACTAGTCTAGCTACTTTCGCCATGACAAGTTGGAAAAAAAGGTTATGGGTCATTTCTACCGACCATCGCTTATGCGTAAACTGCCATAGACATTTTCTATGGACTAAAACATGTTCTAAGCTACTGATAATAAAGTTGCAAATGCTATTTTATCATTCAGAATGACACCGTAGCGCGATCCATTTACCTGATAAATTATTTAGGATATTTCTGCGCGCAAATGGACACTACCGATACTGTAAAAGCTTATGAGGTCCCATTTTAACCCTAATTGACGGAGCTCTATCAACCTTTTGCCGCAATTAAATTTGGCCATTAGCCTGAATGAATCCCTATTCCATCTATAACAGTGATGCACAGACTTATTAAAACTAGGTGCCACTCGGGCAAATCATGAACTGATGGCGGCCCGCCAGAAGTATAGGTTATTAAAGACAATAAAGAATTGCTAATAGTTTATTAAAATTGAAAAATAGGGCTTACTATCTTTTTCATATTTGGCTCAAATTTACTTGAAGCAACACGTAAAACTGCTTGCAAACTTTTATTTACAAGGCGGTTTCGATTTTTTGTTTATTATTTAATATTGAAAAAGTTTGTTCACATATATAGGTACAAGTAAATAAGCTGGCACATTTCAGAGCGTTTATGCTAATTATTTTTGCTGTCGGCGGGCCACCAGTATTCCAGACCGCATGCGGCCCGCGGGCCGCGGTCTGTGCATCCATGATCTATAGGGTAGGCCTTTTCCCCCCAGGCGCGCCTACCAACGATGCCGTAGGCGTGCCAGACGAGCGCCCGGAGGTCCTCCGCCGGGCGTACAACGAGGCCCACACGGCCCTGCGTATTGCCATCTGCAGGGCCAAGGTCGCTGCCTGGGATGAGTTTCTGACCATCCTGGACAGCGACCCCTGGGGGAGGCCGTACCGGACGGTGAGGGGGAAGTTCGCTTCGGCGGCCTCCTCCACGTCCGATATGGAGCCCGCGCTGCTGAGAACGGTGCTGGGAACACTTTTCCCAGACCCCGGGCCCTTCGAACCCCCCAGGATGCCCCCCGGTTCTGCTCCGGGGGCGTGGGCTGCTGGCCCCCCCGTGTCTGAAGGAAAATTCGACACGGTGAGGGACCGGCTCCGGAGCCGCAATAAAGCTCCGGACCGGACGGGGCCCCGGCCAAGGTAATGGCTATTGCCTTGGGCCCCCTGCGAGAGAGATTCCGCGCGGTGCTGGATGCATGCATCGCGACGGGTCGCTTTCCCAGGCGCTGGCCCGGCCGCCCGGCGGACTCCCCAGCGGGCTACCGGCCGGTGGTGTTGCAAGATGAGCCCGGGAAGGCTTTTGAGAAGATTCTCGCCTCCCGGATCATCGAGCACATCGAGGGTGAGGGGCCGGACCTGGCGGAATGCCAGTACGGCTTCCGAACCGGCCGGTCCACGATGGACGCGTTGGCCTCAGGTGGACTGAGGCGGCCACAGCTCAGGGGGAGGTGGTGATCGCGGTGTCCTTGGACATCGCGAACGCGTTCAACACCATCCCCCACGAGTACATAGAGGCGGCGCTCGAGTTCCACCGAGTGCCACTCTACCTCCGCACCCTCGTCCGGGACTACCTGCGAGACGGGTCAGTCCTGTACGAGGATGCGGAGGGCCGCGTCCAGTCGTAGCCAGTGAAGGCAGGCGTACCCCAGGGTTCCGTATTAGGTCCCCTCCTATGGAACCTGGGGTACAACTGGGTCCTGCGGGGTGAGCTCCTGCCGCGCATGGATGTCGTCTGCTTTGCGGACGACACCCTTGTAGCGGCGAGAGCGAGGGGGTGGGAGGAGGCGGTCCACCTTGCGTCGGTCGGCACCTGCATGGTCGTCCGACGCATCCGCCTCCTGGGACTGGAAGTGGCCCTCGAAAAGACGAGGGCCATGGCCTTCCACGGTCCCAGATGCAGGACCCCGCCGGGGCTCCGTGCCCGGGTAGAGGGGGTGTGGGTTCCGGTCGAGATGCATCTCAAGTATCTCGGCCTGACCCTAGACCCGCGATGGAGCTGGGAGGAGCACTTCAGGCTCCTCGCTCCCCGGCTGTGCGGCGTTGCAGCCGGACTCGGTCGCCTCCTCCCCAATGTGAGGGGGCCGAAGGCGAAGTGCCGTCGGCTTTATCACTCCGAGATAAAGTCTATGGCGCTGTACGGGGCCCCGGTCTAGGCGGAGTGCCTCTCGTCCCGCACGAGGGCCCTCCTGCGAAGACCGCAGAGGGTCATAGCGACCCGGGCCGGGGGACTTACCGCACGGTCAGGCACGGGGCTGCCTGCGTCCTAGCAGGCACGCTCCCGTGGGAGATTGATGCCCTGGTACTGTCCCAGGTGCATCAACACCGGGTCGCGGCGAGAGAGCGGGGCGAGCGACCCGTTCTAGAGGAGATAGAACGGGTCCGCACCGAGGCGCAGAGGGAGGCTCTGCGCCGATGGGTGGAGGCACTCGCCAACCCAGCCGCTGGCCACCGGACGATCGAGGCGATTCGTCCGGTGTTGGAGGAGTGGGTAGGGCGCCAGCGGGGCACCCTCACTTACCGCCTGGTGCAGGTACTGACCGGACATGGGTGCTTCGGTCACTACCTGCACCGAGTCGCCCGTCGGGAGGAGACGCCGCGGTGTCATCACTGCGCCTCTCCCCACGACACGGCCGAGCACACGTTGATTGTGTGCCCGGCCTGGCGAAATGAGCGCCGCGATCTGATCGCGGCGCTCGGCGGAGGAGGCCTCACGCTGCCAAGTATGGTAAGAGCCATGCTTGGTAGCGAGAGAGCCTGGAGGGTTGCCGCCTCCTTCTGCGAATCGGTGATGACGCAGAAGGAGGCAGCGGAGAGGGAGCGAGAGGAGGACGCTCTAGCCGCCCCTCTCCGGCATAGACGGGTGGGCCGAAGAAGGCAGGCCAACTGCCGGTCTTCGACGGCCCTAAGGTGGTCTGGGCGCGGCCTGACCAGCCGCGCGTCCTAGGTGCCGCTCCGGCATAGGCCACCACGTCTGGGGACTGCCTAGTACCCTAGCGCAGTCCCCCTGAGGCGCGTCGCCCGGTCCACTCGTTGGGCCGGGCCTGCCCGGGGGCGTGCTCGGAGATGTGGCGCACGCAGGTGCGTCGGCCCCGAGACCGCCCCCATATGGGCGTAGGAGGGTACCGGGGGGTTTTAGTGGAGTAGGATCAGTGTGGCCTTCCGCACTGGTCCTGCTTGAGTAGGGTCGGCACTGTTTCCCGTGCCGGCGAGTCCCACACACGCCGTGCGCCTAGTCAGCGTCACGGTATGGTGCGTAACTGCATTTCCCCTCGTCACAAAAAAAAAAGGCCTTTTCCCCAACAGTAGGATCATTATTAAGCTGATGATGATGATTATTAGCCCGTATTCGGGTGCACAAAAGACATTACTCGGATTGGAGCACCCTAAGCAATTTACAATAAAAAAACGGGCTGGAAGACGGTGTCGGGTAAACAAAAGGAAATCTACCCGAATACGGGCGTACTGGACTCCGTTCATTTATACCCGAATTAATCGTTTACCCGAATTCCATAGGCACTCGTATTCGGGCAAACGACCAGCTGTAATCGCGCCATTACACTTTATGTATTAAACACAACGACATCAAGTTATTTGGCTGTATACTTTATACAAAGAATCTATTATTTCAATTGAAAGACTAATTTGACGTAATGACAGGTAGTGAAGCGAAGGTTAGACGTTGAGTAATGGCTCACCATTATCAGTCAAGGGCGTGTGGCTAGCGGCGCCGATGTTCGCAGAAGAACCTTTCTGGAGTATCACATTCTGGTGTCGAATATTGTCCAGTTCCGCTGGAAAACAAATCAAATATTAGCATATATTGTATTAAACTTTCATGGTCACTAACATTATAGCTAATAACGGGATTGTTACCATGTACGTTGTTTATTATGAGTCTCCGATATTTCGGCACTGTTGCAAGCGCCATGATCATGGCATTACTCCGTGATCATGGCGCTTGCAACAGTGCCGAAATATCAGACTCATAATAAATAAGGTACATGGTAACAACCCCGTTATTAGCTATAAATATTAGCATATTTTCTACCCTAAAAGAAAAAGTGTTTTTCGATGGCCGACTCCCGCTAAGATACACAGATAAGCGGAAAACCAAATAGGAATGGCAAACACCAAAGCAGACAGCATGAATTCAGCGCTGGTACCCTAATAAAAAAAATCGATTTATTACGTGTGCATCATCGTTGTGCATCCGTCTCTAACTTAATAAGATTTAATGCCGTAGAATATCACACTAACATTATAAAGGCGAAAGTTTGTGAGTGTGTATGTTTGTTACTTATTCACGTCTAAACGGCTGGAGCGATTTTAATAAAATTTGGTATGGAGTTAGCTGACACCCTGGATTAACACATAGGCTACGTTTTACTGCGGGAAAATATCCCTAATAAACCTTGGGTAACACCGCGGGGCACAGCTAGTATAGAATATAAAGGACATGATGACACGACGAAGAGCACCATACATCGAATATAGATATAGATTTTAAGAAGTTGCCCTCGGGATTAGACCGACTTAGCTGAAGAAGCAAAGGAATTATTCAGAACCAGGATGGTAGTGAAAGGAGAACACTTTGTCTCTGGCTCTGGCCATTCAAGCGTGTGCTAACCAATTTTCTTTACACCCCACTACACTGCTGTATGAACTTTCGGATGTTGTCAGTGGACTGTACTGTAACTGTGTGTGCAGTTACATGCTTTAAAAATAATAAAAGTTATAACTATAATTGGTATTTCTTCTTTCAAATGTTTAATACTTGTAAAAGTATTCATTTGACATTGTGGGTTTACCTATAATGCGAAGAGATGGCGCTGCCTTGCAGCTTAAGAATAGCTAGAAAGAATTTCGACGCGGTCCGTGAGGGCCGCGGTAGCATAATTGGTCAGTGCATTCGCCCGGATTGCGAAGGGTGCGGGTTCGAGTCCCGTCTGCTGCCTGGTCCGCGTGGAATTTTTTCTAGTTATATTTTCTTTAGATTAAAAATCAATTTAAGTTTAATCGCTGAGCGAGTATCGCTGAGCGAGTACCGCTGAGCGAGTATCGCTGAGCGAGTACCGCTGAGCGAGTATCGCTGAGCGAGTACCGCTGAGCGAGTATCGCTGAGCGAGTACCGCTGAGCGAGTATCGCTGAGCGAGTATCGCTGAGCGAGTATCGCTGAGCGAGTATCGCTGAGCGAGTATCGCTATGCGAGTTTGGCTGAGCGAGTCTTATCTTTAATAACTATTGTCACTCAGCTACAAACGAGTTGAGAGAGTTCTCGCCGGCGACAGTGTGATCATTCAGCTATCAACTATTAATATAAAAAAAGATGGCGCGTAACGGAAAAATGTGACGCGTAACCGAAAAAATGTGACGCCGATAAAGAAGTTTCACTTCAAAAAAAAAAATGTATTTAATTAATTGAGAACTTCGGAGATTTTGTGTGGTTTCGTTTGAAATTTGTGATTTCTCGAAAACCGGAAGTGCTACGTTACTCAAATCCTGGTTGTAGTCTTATCAGACTATTCTTAACTTATAACTTAAACATTCTCTTTATCTATCTCTTACGGTTTGGCCGTTGAAACAGCACCACAGACAGACAGACGAACGGAAGGACGGACTTGTCTAATAGATAAGAGATGCTCCAGTATATCTATAGTCTATATCCAGCTTAATGGCGAGTATACTTTACATTCTGTTACAAATAAATACTCCAGAATATCTATAGTTTACCCTGCTTAAAAGTGAATATACACCTGAGCAATTGATGTAACAGGAGAACAAATCCTCTCTACGATATGTTGTAATGATCACCGTTTCACGAACCAAACCCCTTTGGAAACCGAGCGTTAACCTGTATTGTCCCATTTGTAATAATGTCACAATGCATAGAAAGGCTTGAGAAACTGCTCTAGTGTATACTCACCTTTAGGATTACAAACCAAATATAAGCCAAATTTCAGCCCGATCCGTCCAGTGGTTTGGGCTGTGCGTTGATAGATCACTATGTCAGTCAGTCAGTCACCTTTGAGTTTTATATATATAGATAGATATTCACATAATTTTAGTATGCAAAACCATTCTGTGTTGTTTTCAATGTTCACTTCTCATTATAATATTTTCTTTTGTGAGCAGTTAAAACAAAGTGATTCCATAGATCACTATAACATGACTGTAAGTAACTATTGTGTAAAAATATACAGTTAGATTTTGGTACTAAATATTATCATAACAATATACTATAATACAATTACACAGCATTGATAGGCCTTTTTATTCTGATAATCTAACACCAGTGAGATGATAAAATATGATAAGATATTTAACCTAGGAATATAAATTGTATATACCTAAATAAATATAAATGAGGATCTCGATGGCGCAAGTGGTTAGCGCGTTCGGCTGCGATTGTTGAAGTCAAGCAACTTTCGCATTGGTCGGTCATTGGATGGGTGACCCAATATTTACTATCTTGAGCTCCTCCATGCTTCGGAAGGCACGTTAAGCCGTTGGTCGCGGCTGCATCTGCAGTCGTTAGCACCCACAAATCCACACTGGGCCTGCATGGTGGGTCAAGGCCCAATCTCCCTATTCCATCCCTAGGGAAGGCCTGTGCCTTAGGGAAAGCAGTGGGGACATTAATAGGCTGATGATGATGATGATACTTAAATAACAGCCCACTTTGCCTAGTAGGTAATTTTTTTTTAAAGTATATTTATATTTTATCTTGCACCCATAGTTCAAAGACATGCTTTTGGGGCTAGATGAATGTTATGAAAATGTCTAACATTCCCAATAGTATTCAATGTTTATAAATAATGACATTTAGTTATTTCTGGTTTTTAAGGTTTTTAGACATTAAGTACTTTTAAGCATTTGTCTTGTATATAAATATTTTATGGTTAATTTTTAATGTTAAGTTTTTAATTTGATATTGTTGTGACCTAATTATAGTTAATTAAATTATTTACAAACTTTAAAAACTCCTTTTAATAATATATTTTAGTTATTAATTTTATGTTTTAAGGTTTTTAGTTTTAGTTTTATTGTTCTAGTATTTATATTTTACTCATATGTAGTAATTATGTAATTAGATAGAGACTTATTTGTTTATAGTTAGTGTACTTCATATTTATTAAATTAACATAATATACAACTTTAAAAAAGAACATGAGAATAACATACTGAATCCTGTTATGTGTTAAGTTTAAAGCTGATTTGGTAATCTCCTTGACTTACTTAATCATATTTTGGTGTGGGATTTTAAGTAGGTGGTTGTGGTTCTAAGAGTGACTGTATATCACTATGTGGGCAGAAAAATGTTAACAACTGAGGTCAGCTAGAAATCAACACAAAAGCCTTTTAAAGGACAAACAAATTAATCGCCTATCCTTATAATAATAGGGGATATTATAAAAACTTACCTCTAGTGTCTAATAAGTCTTTATTCAGTCTTTCGTTTGCCAATTTTAATGATTTAATCTGGTCAAGGAGATGTGTCAGCAATCTGCTGCCAATCTGACTATCTGAGATACTTGACTCAGATTCAGATTCCGATTCCACTTCACCATTCGCTGGCCTCGCTACATCGGGCAGTCCTTGGACACAGGGGTCACTGAATCTTCTAGTATTGCAGCCGTCATCCTTTTCATTAGTATTCATGTCACTGTTTGAGTTTGTATCAGCTACTGATGTTACTATTGGTGGCAGGCTGGTGAAATCTTGACTATCAGTGAAATTCTTTGGTTGCAAATAATTGGTATTACTCAACATGCTATTTGGCGTGCTGGCCACTTCCTCAGCTTTGTTTTCAGTCCGTCGCCGAAGCCGCGGTCTTTGCACTTGAACACTTTTGCTTACACTTTGAATATACGGGCCGTAAGTGGGAGCTATTGGTGGATTACAATAGGTAGGGAGTGTAGGTAGAGACATCGGCTCCGAGCACCCATAGACGTATCGATACGGGTCATATCCCGGAGCAAACTGAGAACTGTTTATCTGCCAGTTGAAATTGGGATGAATGAACGAATCGTAAGTTTCCATACTTGGAGTAGAATCCTGTATGTGATGCAACGTCTTGTCCAGCCATTTTGTTAAATATGAGCCCTTGTTGCCCTTTGATTTCTTCCGCTTTCCCAAGGGGCCGTTGGAAACGTTCACCTGCTTCGGCGTAGAAGCCATTGAAACTCCCTATACAGCACGACACAAAGTTTTTATATGCTTATGTGAACACTGATCAACTGTTTAAAAGGATAGGTTTATCTCATTTTTTATTTACATCAATCAACAACATTAACAAACACGTATCATCACAATCCACAAAATTTAATCCTTCCTTGACCAACCGACTTTGTTCGCGGAAGAGTGATGTTCAACTGTCAAACTCAAAATTAATTTGTTTGTCAATGTCAATCGCGTTTTCACGTTACGTTTCGTTTTCATACCTTTACAATACATAAAATTACTCTGTATTAACTAATTTAATTAGTGAATTACTGATTTTCTTACACGTTAATATACTTTTCATTAAATTATTCAAATTAACGTAGCTAGGATCTGTATTTTTTTACCTAAGCAATAATAGATGTCTGTACGTACGAGCTTGAAATGCCATCTATTCGCTGCTTTATAATACTACAAATAACATAACGGTGTGTCGTTTGTAATAATATTATAGATGGCGTTAGCATGAGTTCTTTAATAATTATTAGTTTTAAAAAATATTCTAGAAAAAAAAAACAACCGGCGAAAAAACTGAAAAGCAGAAAATTATGAACCCTTTCTATCTTTAGTCAAATTAATATTTGGAGTTGGTGCCATACTGTGATCTATTTAATAGGTCCCGGAGACAAAAAAGTCGACTAGTCAAGTCTACTTGATTGAAGTGCTATTGATCGTTTACCCTGTTGATTGTAGCGACACCAAATATTATTTTATTTATTTATTTATTTATTTATTTATATCACATTGCTCATGTACATTATTTATTATAAGGTCTTATATATACTTAATAGTGAGTGGTACATGACCCCGTTGGGGTGTTGCAACAAACTTGAGCTTAACATTAAATACATTATTTTCACTTAATTGCTGGTCATATCAGCAAATAATTTTATTAATTTGACTAAAGCTAGAATGCGTTTATTATTTTCTGCTTTTTTGCATTTTTTGCATAAAAGTTTCAATTTTATTATTTTTTCTGGCTTTAATTTTTATACAACCCGAAATCAAAATCAGTGAGTAAACAATCACCTCATTTCCCCACTCTTCGGTAGGATTTCTGTTTCCAAATTTATAAGGGAGCAACTTTGAGGACCAAACCTATCCAATAACAACCGGCCAAGTACGTATCGTGCCACGCGCAGTGTAGGGTTCCGTAGATATTTTATTGTGGTAGTATAAAATAGTTTTTTTTGTTTTGTTTTTCAATCAAGATTATGCGCGATATAAGCAATCAATTACCTACTTTATCTACGTCACTTTTAATGTGTTCTTCTAAGAAAATTTTATTAGGTTAAAAAATTCTGATTCCTAAGTTGTACGACTTTTATTCTTAAACTAACTGATCTATCTCAATGGTCATAATTTTCTTTGAAAGTTCTTGAAAAGCACTAGGTATTTTCCAGGATTCCAAGCCATTATTTTAACTTTTAGAGGGACGGGGGATCTACTTGAACAAAAATTTGGACTTTAAGGTTTAAACATTTACAAACGGATCCCTATATTGAAAAAAGTCTTAGCATTAGGAGTTTTAAAGAACCTACTCAACGACACACCACACTATGGGATAGACGATGAAAAATAATCACCCCCACTTTAAACGTAGGGGCTACCCTACCCTGAGGAAAGGGTTTTGTTTTTTAAAATTTAATAAGACAGTAAACAATTTATATGGGATCAACTTCGTATGTAGACCCTTACCAATAAAAAAAGAATTATCAATCGGACAACTCTGTAAAAAGTTATGCGTGACCATACATAAACAAAAAATATACACTTCGAATTGATTAACTCCCCGTATTTTTGTCGGTTGAAAAAGAAGGGTCCCATACCTTATTAGAGTATTTTCTTAAATAGATTTCATGCAAAACAAATATCGATAATCATGTTTTAGGTATGGAGACCCTTAATTTTAATATTAATAGTGATAGCGGCCATAGTACGCATTCTATGAGAGGTGTATACACATTTTATTCTAAAAGATAGAACTCTGCGACAGATAAACAAATAACAGCGGCGTATGCAAATGCTGCGGTCCTGGTGAAGAATGCAGTAAGAACTCCGAGATGTTTATGAGAAGTGGCTTTTACAGTTAAAACTTTGAAAGCAAATCTACTGAATCATCATTGACACACGATTATTACTTAAACTTATGTAAAATCGACACCAGGTTGACCAACTCCTGTATTTGTCGTTTAATTTTTTGTTATTTATGATGATTATTTGTAAATGAATGTTAATTGATTGTTTGGTTTTTAATCATAATCTTTATTTGCTAAATACATGGTATACAGGTAGGTATCTATTACATAAAGTGGATTGAGCACGTGTTTTGCCATTTTTAAAATTATAAATAATTTCATTAAAAAAAAGATGATTCAATGTGTGGGCTGTTGTTGACCCGATTATTTATTTATTTATTAAAGTAGGTAACTCATGTTGAGAAAGCAATCCGTTTGTATAGCTGCCAAAGATCTCTCAACGGGACCGCAACATCCATATTAGCCTTTTTCAAATTGACGATGGTGCTAATCTACGCGTCCCGCTTCGCGCTCTTGCATTGCGCAGTCGGGTAAAAAGATCCAAAACATCTTCGCTAGATTCACGGAACTCACACTATCCTATGTTCAATGATAACTCATTTATGTAATATTAGTATCTTTACTGGAACTTTTCCGACCATCTTCAAAAAAGTAGTTGTGATCCCCATACACAAGGGTGGTGATATGGAAACAGTGTCAAATTGTCGATCAATCTCATTATTAATCATCGTTGGCAAAATTATTGAAAAGGTTATAAATAATCGACTCACAAGCTTCTTGGAGATCAACCATCTGCTTTCACCAAATCAATACGGGTTATCTCGGGTTAATCTCTGGTAGAAGCACTGAAGATGCCATTGTTAACCTACAGATAAGGTAACAGAATGCTTGGACAAAGATGAGAACTGTGTTATAATTATTATGATTTTTTTGGACCTATAGAAAGCCTTTGACTCGGTGACTATTTCTCTACAATTATACAACTGGAAAGCATCGGGATTCGTGGTCAAACTTTCGATTGGTTCCATAGCTATTTGACTGATAGAAATAAAGTTGTCACAATTCTCGATATGAGTTGTAGTTTGCCTGTTACATTTGGAATACCTCAGGGGAGTACCCTAGGCCTAACGTTGTTTCTGGCGCATTCCAATGATTTGTGTAATCTAAAACTGAAACAGGGTCGACGCCACTGTAATATTATTTAAAGACGAATGTTGACGACGCTATGAGAACTCTGCGCGCCTACAACTCCTAAGATGACTAAAGACGACGAAGACTAAAAATAGCGCCATTAGGAAATATCTTTTTTAAAGTATTAATATAAAGGAAATTATTATCAAAGCAACCACAATGGCGGTAAGTAAAACTAACAAGACCGGGAATAGACGCACTCGCAGAGATGCTGTGCATGGTCAGACCGCAGACGCCTATAATAATAATATTTATAACACTCATACCAATTAGCTTAGTCCCAAAGCAAGCACTGTAAGAGGAGCCAGTGCTTACTTTGCATACAGGAACTGCTCGACCAGTTAGCCAGTGATCAACATACATGGACTGCTCGAAAATCAAAGCTACCATTGATAACTGCTCCGAGCAGTCCGTGTATGGTCATTTTTTGAGCCTGTGCTTGTCTTACGCGGGAGCACAACAATCCGTAGATGATAGCCAGAAGATGACACAGACAAGAGCTTAGCCTCACGCAGCGCTACTGTATAAAATAACATGAAACAGCAATCGATCGGGACCGGACATTTGTTCCGTGCTCCCGCTTAAGGCGGCGGAGGCCTTTCATGTCAATTGTAACTTGTTTATTTGACTACCACCGTGGTGCTAGCGTTAGGTATGTGCTATCGAAGAAATTGATTCCTGGCCCACTTGCTCGATAATTAGCTTAAAAAGTTTGTAGAATGCTTAATTGCACTTAGAACCTTGCTTCGCTCCGCTAATACGCGAAAGATACGGGTGCGAATCCCGTCTGAAACCTGGAAAGAGTGGTCCAGGTAGTCCAGAATATAATTCTAGATATTTTCTAGTAATATTTTCTTTAGATTAAAACATCTAGAAGTTAAATGCTTGAAATAAAAAATATGCAATGAAATTATTGTTCTTTAATTGCACTTCAAGTAGTACTTACTTTTGCTTCTTGTTCCATTCACAGTCAGCTCATTTCCAAAGTGTTTTTTCAACGAATTTATCTGGATGATATTTTCATTTAAAGATCTTTTTTTAATAGAACAAATGGACGGATAAAGATAAATTATTAGGAGCAACAGGGTAACACAATAAAGATGCAAGGAAAGTTGTTTTTCGCTCCATGGTCTATTATAAGACTAATGAATTACTTCGGCTATTTTTATCTGCATCATAACATAGACAGTTCACCTAATTAAGATGATCTACACCTTCATCATGCTTTAGGCGCTTTGCAGACGACGGGGCGGGGCGGGCCGGTCAATTTCGCCGCGAATAATAGCACAAAGAGAATCCTTTACTTCAAACGTACACAGAGGGCAAAAAGACCGCGCCGCAGGTGCCCGGCGGGCAGTGGCGGCGCGGGGCGGTCAGCTCAGTCCGCGCCACGCGCTTATTAGTGATGGACTATTCACTAGAACGAACGTCCTGAACTGACCGCCTCTGCCCGTCGTGTGCTTGGTGTACGCGGCGCGGGCAGCCGCAGACATCGACGGGCAGACGCGGTCTTTATTGCTTCGCGGACAAAAATCCCGCCCCGACCCGTCGTCTGCTAAGCGCCTTAAATTACGACGTTCGACACGTACCTATATAAGTATATATAATAGTACCTACGCTTGTAATTATAAACTCTTTGGCTCAGATTTTCAAAGGTTTCAGATTCAAATATTCAGTACGTATATCAAATACTCTCGATGAGCTCGATTGCGCAAGTGGTTAGCGCTTTCGGGTTGCGATAGTGGAAGTTAGGAAACTTTCGCAATGGTCGGTCATTGGATGGGTGACCAAAAACTTATTACCTCGAGCTCCTCCGTGCTTCGGAAGGTTCGTTAATCCCGGCTTCATCTGCCTGCAGTCGTTAGCGCCCTCCACTCCGCACTGGGCCGTATATTTTAACGTTTGACTCTTTTGTATATGT